TAGACGTGTCCATTTGCCGGGCCGGGTCGAAACCCGGCCCGGCCCGCCGGGTCGGCGGTTCACCGTGTAGTGAACCGGGCCCGGCCCGCTTGTAACTAAGGGCCGGTTCACTGAACCGGCCCTTAACCGCCGGGTCGCAAACCCGGCGGGTCGAGTCGGTTCCGGGTCGGGCCCGGCGGGTTTGCGGGTTTTTTACTTTTTTTGTTATTTTAATGTATATTAATGTTTATTTGAATAAATAGTTTGTATATACTTCGAAAATATAAGTTTTTGAGTCTGTTTGTCTATATCATTTCAAAATGAAACAAAAATAATGATCGGGCGTCAATTCTTGGAACCAAACGGTTAACGGTGTTGTATTTTATTGAGTATGGCGGAGAAGTACAACTTGAGGTAGTTTAGAAATGCTAAATTGTACGTCAAATGAAGTCGAATAAGTGTAAAGAAAAAAATTATTAATGTAATGGACTTGAGCTTAGTTAACAGTTATTAAGTTCGAATATCGTGTACGATGAAAAATTTTGTTGCCAAAAAATTATACTCGAACTTAATAATGTTAAATAAGGTGCCTACGTATCCCTTTATTTGGGAATCAAAGTCCACGTAGTTCTTCTAAATCACATACCTTGGCTGCATACCTTTAATATTCGTATTCGTCTTCGACGTCCCCCCCGGTTCCACTTGTCGACGACGTAAAATCGGATGCATCGTCGTTGTCGTCTTCCTCCTCATTCGAAGTGAGCATAGCAGTTTGCATCCTTCGTTCGGCCTTCTTCCAACGGTCGGCCCGTTAAAATTTTTTTTTTTTTGAATTTTGAGGACCGAACCCGGGAACCCGGCCCGGCCGGCCGGGTCCAACGGTCGGCCTGGACCGGCCCGGACCCGGCCCGTCGGGTTTTTTTTTTGCTGAAGCGAACCGGAACCGGCCCTTGATATGTCCGGTTCCGGGCCGAAAACCGGCTTTTCCGGGCCGGGCCGGGCCGGGTTCGGTCTGGGTCCGGGCCGGTTCGACCCGTGGACATGTCTATTGCTGACCTTTGAAATAACTCTACTTTTTGGATTGCTCCTATTTGCTTACCTTTGCAATAACTATATTATGCAAATCGAATGCGAGTGTTGCATGTAGACATAACTCAAAGTCATTATTCAGTTGCCATTATATGAGATAATGAGATGACCCTTTACATGAAATTAAATGCAGTTCCATTTGATTGATAACTTCCTGTCATTTATTTTAGATGCTGGAAATCACTTCAATGAATTAGAACAACTTCAATTTTTAACTATCTATTTTAAATCTAAAACCAAAATATCCTCATTTGCAGGTGCTTCCCGAGGTTTAAGCGTCCCATGCACTACCATATTTGTAAATGGCGAAAGGCGAGGAGAGGCGATTGGCCCTTGGCCTCGCCACGAGGTGAGGCCTCGGCTACACATGTCACCAAAATGTAGCAAAACAATATTATAGATTGTGCAATTATATATTTATGTTCAAATGATAAAAATAACATCAAATATCTCCAAAAAAGGCAAGAACACAAATGAAACACAAGTCCATAGCACAAACACACATAGAAATTGGCACACACATAGTTAAATACTAGAAATAAGCAACAAGTCCATAGCACAAACACCAAGAAAGTAGAAATAATATATAAAGTTTTAAGTTTGGCACCCACATAGTTAAGTACTAGAAATAAGCAACAAGAGACAAGCAATAAGAAACAAGAAAATGACAACATCCATCATTCTTCGTCTTCTTCATCTTCATCCTCATCGTCTTCCTCTTCCTCCTCAAAATTAAATTTTTCATTTTCATTGAATCCTTGCTCTTCATTTTCTTCCTCAAGCAACTCCAAGTCATCATCTACAAATTCTTCCTCTTCATCAATTAGTCTTAAACTTGAGCCTTTGCAGGAGGAAATTAACTTTCTCCTTTCCAAGTCTATTACTTTCCCCTTTCCCTTATCAACCTCTTTGGACTTGGAACTTTGAGCTTTTTCTCTAGTTCGATACGTAGGCTCCTCCGCGCCACTAGCCTTAGCATCCGCAGCCCAAGTCAAGTCTTCTCCCTCAAACACCGAATCATCATCATCACCATCACTTTCTCCTTCCATTTTGCCAAGCAACTATTCATTGGACTCTTCAATTTCATTCAACAAAATAGGATCAATCCGATCACGCCCATCATATCGAAGTCTCAAAGCAAGATTATATTTAACATACACCAAATCATTCAATCATTTTTTTATCAAGCCTATTCTATTTTTTGCTATGAACCTACAAAATGTAAGATAGAAAAAAAACAAGTCATTAAAATTTTCATTTGAACAATTTATTAAAAAATATTTTATGAAATACTTACATGCTCAAAAATGCTCCAATTGCGCTCGCATCCCGAAGCACTACACGTGAGACTTAGCACTTTGATGGAGAAAATTCTCAATTTCGGAGTTTGTGTCCCATGGGTGCGCCACCACTCCGCCGGAGATATCGTCGACCGTTGTCTATCCGCCAATCCCCTCCCGAAAGTCCCTTTGGACCTTAAATAAATTCCAACTTGAGTGGAGACCTTTTCTTGCTCCTTAAAGTCCGGGACCAATTGTTTTATAGTATTTTGAGGGTAGTTGGTAACCGAGCTACCCGACCTCGAGTCGTTCTCAAAGGAAGACGGTTCGGAGCTTCGTTTACCACTCAATTGTCCAAATCACACAAAATGAGAAAATAAAGCTAAACATGCTAATCAATTTGGATTGGGGATGGATTAACACTAATTGCACTAGGAAGTAAAAACGACAATCAACGAGAGAATCACGCAATTAACACTACCGGAGTCTCTAAGCCATCAAGATCAAACGGAATCACAACGAGTAGTATGCAAGCTCTAACACTAGATCACTAACCCTAACCTTCTAACCTAAGTGATTAAGCCCTAAATAGAGTCCTAACCCTTAATCTAGATAGGCAAATTAGTATCTACTAGAAACATGAGCAATGATCAAGTCCAAGCATATCCTCCATCATCAAACAAACACTCAAATTCACCTTGAAAAATTCCATAAGTAAAAACGAGGCAAAAATCGAAGTAATGAGCTTTAAAAGTAAATACCCAATCTTCTATTGCGTGCTAGACAAAAATCGGAGTCAAAAGCTCGGAACTTGAACAAAATAAAACTCGCCGGAAAACTCGCCGGAAAATGAAGTCATAGAGCTCCCAAGAGAGAGAAGAGAGAAAACTAAAAAGAAAATAGCTATTCCCAAAGTGGGAAAGTGAAAAATGAAATCTAGCTGATGCAATTACAAATGACCAAAACATATATATAGTCCAACTCCAAAAACACACAGTGGAAACACGCAGATTAAATGACACACTCTCGAGCTCGTCGGGACTTCCGCGGGTCGCGGGCAGCAGTGGCACGGGTGCAGGCACGAGGAAGGCGCGGGGGAAAACTCGGTGTGGCGCGAGCACATTCCATACTCTCGATAACGCGGAGTGTTCCGCGCGCGCGGATGGGCCAAGAAGCCACTACTCTTGACCTGGCGGAGATGCTCGCGCGCGCGGACGGCAGACGGCGCGGACGAAACGCTACTCTCGACCTCGCGAGATGTTTCGCGCGCGCGAACGGCAAGGGCACGAGGTCAGCGCGAGACGCGGGCGTGGGAAAACTACTCTCGACGTCGCGGGGTCTTTCGCGCGGCGCGGGCACGGGGCAGCCCGGGGCAAGGTCGATATTCTCGATCTCGCGACAGACTTCGCGCGCGCGGACGTGGGTGATGGTGCGGGGCACTGATGCTTCGCGAGGCGCGGGCGCTGGCTCGAGGGCGCGAGTAAGGCTGTCCTTGGGGGCTTTTGATCGATTTGGCTCGAATTTCTCGGAATGGAGATTGCTCGTACGAATTGGCTTGAAACTCTTCAGAATTCCATCGAAAATGTTCGTCTCTTAGAGCTCATTTGGGTTCTTCTCTTATCATCCTCGAAATAATCCTGAAAATACACCCAAGAGCACGGAAAAGTACGCCAAAAATAGAATAAAAAGAAAAACAAGGAAAATACACGAAACACGATAAAATGGACCGGATGACCCTAAAACGAACCTAAGAAGACCACACTAAGACATATAAAACACACGAAAATAAGTACAAAAACACAATAAACAACTGTAACGCCCCACTTTATTTTGAAATATTTATCGAATTTATTTAATAAAAATCACAATAAATTTTTCGCAAACTTTAATTTAATTAAAAACTCAGTGGGCGCTACTTATTTTACCAAAAGCTTTTATCCGCAAAAACAACCACATTAAAGAAAGATAGCATGCTCGAACATTAAATCATAACCCTCACTAGCATTCATTAAATTCAAAATCACAAAAGATAATTCATAACTCCCAAGTTCCAAACGACATGATCAATATCCAAATCTCGACATGAATTCATAAACTAAGCGGAAGCAAAATTAAACAAATAAATGTCATAACCACCACTCGTCATCTCGTCTCGTCACCGCCAACTGCTTAACCTGCATCAGTTACGAGCAGGTGGGAGTGAGTACAGTTAACTATCGTACTCACACTATGCACATGAATAACTTATAAATGGTATGGTCGCAGCATGAACATAAACAATTAAATCATGTCACATCTCTAGTCACATCAATGACTCTAGTCTCATCAAAGACTCACTCATGTACATCTATGCTCATCAAAGCTAAGCCATGCCATATCAGTGAAACATGGGAGTGCGTGCCACATCAATGACACGGCCTTCTCATAGGTCTTAA